CCCGAACTATCGCTTTGTTTTGTTTTCGTCCTTTTTTGGCTCTTTTCTTCTGAATTCCATCTTTTCCATAGAAACACCTACATTGCATGAATTTAACGAGATTAAGTCACAATTCGACTACTTTTTCCGTGTTTAAGTCATGTTTATGAGCTAAATAAGTGTGTAAAAACACATTTATCAACCGTAATTGTTGACATCGACGTCAGAAATTAGGGAGGAAAGTTTGTTGTCACTGCCTTTGAATTGGTATGGGTTAGATTTTGATTTAAATTGTTTTGTGATGGCATGGGACTATGTACCTGTTCGTCTTGAGGAGTACTAACAGCCTATGATGGAGTTTTGGTATGGGTGATGGTGGATTGGCTGGAATTGGAGTTAAAACCGTGCGTGTGTATGATTTTTCGAACCTGAATTTCGCTATGGTTTTTCATTCATTTTGGTTAATTGTTGGTATGGGATTGTGGAGGGGGATGAGGAGGTGTTGGTGGTGTAAAATTCCGGTGGTTTATCCGGTAGTAGGGTGGTCGATTTTGATTTTGAATCCACCAGCGTCAGAGAAGAAAGCTGGAAAGGGAGGAAAAAATTGTTTAAAGAGTGATTTGGTCCTCAAGGTTTAATTTTCACGTGTTTTGGTCCTTCAAGTTTGAATGAAAAGCATAATGGGCCTTCAGTGACTGTTTCTGAAAGAAAATGTAATTTCAGTGATCGTTGTTGTAAGTTTTAAATTTCAATGACCGTTTTGAGATTTTCGATTAAGTTTAGTGACCATTTGTGAAATTAACCCTTTACAAATTAAATACTGTTTGATTTATTTATTTTTTAAAATTTATTTGATCACATTTACTCCAATTTCTTAGATACTTTCGAGATTATTCTTTTTTTTTTCTTATAACTCACACAACTTTACACATTTACGTTGATTCGGCTCATTTAATCCATGTCTGACAACTATTAAAATGAGTTTTTAGGAAAAAATGAGTCCTCAAATAGTAATTATTTAAAGAACACAAGGTTAAAAAGTATGAAAAAAATTTAAATTTACGTGTATAATATTTTATTGTAAAAATGTGGAGTCGAAAATTAATTTGAAAATAAAAGAGTTATTTTAAAGATTGTCAACATAAGCTTAATAAACTATAGAATTATTTCTTGAAGTTTAAGGCAATTAATCAGGTACTCCTCGTATTTTTCTAATTTAAGGAAACCTCCTTATCTTAATTAGTATTAAACTATTTTGCCTTTCACTCTTATGCCATATATATGAAATTAAGCCTGTTTGGTTTTCATTAAATTAAATTTCATTTTTCACTTCTCTATTTTCAGAACCTTTGATAAAATAATATTACATGTAATTCAAAAAAATTTCTTTCTTTTTTATCACTCATTCTCCAAAAAAAAAAAAAAAAAAAAAAAAAAATTTTTCCCCCTTTTTTATTTTAAAAATTG